ACGACATTAACAGGATTTGTTTCTCCAAGTTCAATTCCCCAACAAGTCTTCTACACTTTAATGGCGGCCATACTGCTCGACATACGTTAAGGGTGCACCACGTGATTCTGACATGGCGAAGACAATCGAAAAACGGAGGTCGAAATTTTAATTCATAAACCCTTTAAACTGTCTATTTCTTTTAGGCTAACCGTGTATATAAGACCTTTTGCATACAAATGTTGGGCACAGCTAAAGCCTCTTTATACAGAATTAATGTGAGAATCCTCCATTTGTGCAGCAACTCAAGAATTTCCTAACATTTTATGGAACCCAAAGGTTCATTACATGTTCTCAAGAACCCTCCAGCGTTCCCAATCCTGTCCATGCCACCCCATCCTATCTAAGATCTAATATATCTCCCAGCTACATCTAGATTTTCCTAGTTATGCCTATCCCTTTGGCTTTCCTACCAAAACCCTACAGACATTTCTTCTCGCCCACATCAGATTCTCTTCATAAGAATTTGTTGATTTTTTGTTTATTACTATATTATATTCAATAATAAAGACTGAACTAATAAACATAATTTATCCACAGGGATTAAATAGCCTTGATGACGAAGGACAATACCTTGGGAGTTTCTCCTATGATATCGATAGCAGCCCTCTGCAGCACTTTACAATTCCGGTAACACACTGAGCAATACAGTTAACAGAATTAATAAGACATTTTTATGTAAGTGATGACATTTTCTGTTTATAATCTGTACCATTTCTTTTCATATCAGGAACCAGCAGCAATTCCATTTCGCTTCATTGAGCTCAAGATATACAACAATCACGGCAAAGAAAGTTATACATGCCTTTATCGCTTCAGAGTACATGGAACTCTGGAGCCTCCTGAGCAAGCATAAACACTGTCCAACTGACGGGGAATAATGCTGCCTTATGAACACAAGCTAAATGTCTATGGTAATGACGTGTAATGTGTACTCCAGGAGTGAAAAATGTGATGTCTGTAGTGCAACAGAATTTTTGGGACACTGAAATACCCACATAATATAATATTACAAGGCAGCTGAAAACTGGAATAGTGCAGCCAGAGGAGACGACCGTTGATAGGTAATGGCCGATATGCACGATTCTGTGGCAGTGAATACATGATGCTACCAGAGAAATGGTGGAAATGGCATTTCCTACTTGGTGTGACCTGAGGCTGCATACCTAGACCACCCAGCCAGTTGCTTCAACCTCAACATATTCAATAACAATTCTAATAATATCTATTTACAGATCTCTTACTGTGAATCTACTGAATCTAACACACAGTGTTACATTAACACTATATGTTGGATTCAGTATAGTTTCTAGGCCCTTTAAAAAAACGTATGGCTTAACTAGTAGTGTGTACCAGTGTTTAGACATAGGCCTTGCAATGAGCTCGTCACTCACCAAAGGAGTCCTACCATCTGCAAAAAATGATTACATAACTGAATAAGAGGCCAGGGCCCTGAATTTAAATTAAAATAATATACCCTTAAATGAACAGTGTGGGTTCAGCAGTAATTCATCAACAGCATTGGCTTCTTTCAAATTAATAAACGAAATTTTGTTAGCCATGACTAATAAATTAACTGTGGGTAGTATATTGCATATGGTGGTATAACCATGATATCTGCATATGGCTCTACATCCCTTGTGGACCTTGGCCAGTTTTTCAGTTTCTTGATCTATACACAGTCAGTAGGACTCCTTGGACATTGGATCAGCCTGCCGCAAGGCCACTGCCTATACACAGAATGACACAAACAGATAAATACACAAATCAAATTTGTTATCAATCAATCTTTTGAAGACTTTTACTATGCAATTTATAACCAAAAACTCTGTTCCTACCAAGGCCTCCATTTTCTGTATAATCTATCTGCATAATAGCTTTACTGTATTTACAATAGTACTTATTGTCTTTTATATCATTTATTTTATTGCTTTATAATTTTGACATGTTCTAATTATTTACTTGAGCTCAACTTGTACCTTAACTGTACTTATGATTGTATTGTACTTTTATGTTCTTCTGCTTATTGTGACATATTTTAATAAATGTTCTATTTATCCTTTCTGGTTCCATTCTAATCATATGCCTTAACCACTCTTTCTCCTTTCAATGTCTGCTATTAGGTCAAGGATTTTCTATAATTCCCTTGGTTCTTGGTTGGTGCTAAGAATGCTTGTACAGTTACCAATAACATTTTATTTGCATATTAGAACTGAAAAGGAATTTATTTGGCCCATATTTGTTACACAATGTACGATGAACCATGCGAGTGGCATTATCTTCATTTTCAGTTGCAACCAAACTTAATAGACATTCATTTTACACTACAGTATAGCTATTTTTTGCAGGCTTAGCCAAGCAAAACTCTGAAAAAAATAAAGAGAAAGTGAGTATTTCCTGTACCATTAACATTATGAAAGAGGCTAAATACTGAAGACAATGAAGTAACTTGGGAAGAGTTTTCACATGCCTAATGGCGGAGGTAAAGAGGACACACCGAAATACATACATACATACATACATAGCTACATGGTTTCACAGATCCTTTGTCCGGAGACCGGACTGGATATTGAACTCGTCACAGCCAAACTGACATTGCAATGTGCAACCAGGTCTAGACAATAAAATATTCAACAATTATAACATTGATAGGTACAACAGTATAAAAATCAGTCATCTTACAATTCTTGGCTAGAACATAGTCTTAGAAAACAGACTGTAACAGTGCATAAAATTACCTACTTGCCATATATTCACCTACCGAGTAAAATGCTTTTGAAGCCAGAAAATCCTTTAGTCTTTGTTTAAAAATATTAATATTGTCTTTCAAGATATATATGTTTTGTGGCAGGTTGTTAAATATTCTAATAGATGTAAAATGCACACCCTTCTGAATGGAAGATAATCTCACAGAAGAAACATGTAGCCTATTGTGCCATCTGGTACTTATTTGATGTATGTTATCGTTTGCTTGGTACATATTATAATTTTTAATTACAAACAATAT